TAATATAATTATACTATTATCTAAGTTAAAATATGGCAAAAAGAGTTAATATTTCACTGATGTAACATTCAGCTTCCGTAGTTATTCGTTTGAATTCTCATTCGATGTTACAAAGAAATCGGAGACAAAATGAAAACGTCGTAAAGGACGAACGAAAGGGGTTCTGCCGCCATTAAACCTACCCTAATCCAATGATTACAAGGCTCTGAAACAATTCGCATTGCCAAACGATCCGTTCTTTTTCAAGGGACAATGGGCGAAGCGACGAATGAAATTGTTATTCTACAATTGGCACTCAAGGATCGCGCGGGGATTGGCTGTATTAAAATATCGCACGATCTCAACGTGCAATCGTGTCGAAGGTTAGCACCCGCGGTTCTCGTTACAACGACGACAGAACGGCGGGCTATAGAAAAGTAACGCAACATATGCGTCGGGCATCGACGTTAAAACCGCGCCATGATGATGACGATAACGATAATAAAGAGGTGGAACCGGGAGGGGCCTGTGAAACGTAACACTCCCGCGAAACAACACCGAGGGTGTCGCGGATGAAACGCGGTTGTAGCGAAAAGAAGAAAAAGAGAAAAGAGTGCGCGACTGTGCTGATCGAGGCAGGGTTATTTCTTTTGTTCATGGAAAAAATAATTTAGAACTGAATAATCAAGGTGTTATCTTAATAGTCTGCGATCAATATTTTAGAAGAAACTTAGAACAGAATTTTAAAAAGAATAATTTTTTGGAAAGATATGAAATAATCAAGAATTAAAGGGTATTTTTTATGAGTAATGGAATACTTTTTATCAGTTGGAGCATTTATTTTTAAAATAATGAAAGAAATTCCTTGATGGAAGTACAATAAGATTCTTATTTTCTTGTAACTTCGCTGAATTCTTAATAGAAAAGGTAAGTTTTTAAATGACCACTATTTTAGAAATTAATATAAATAACTTTATGCTTATCTAGCTATTGAAGGTATTGAAAAATTAATGCTAAAATACAAGAGTTGCATTAATATTCGGTTGTACTCGAAGGAATAAGTGATATGATGAGAATAGCAGTGGTCCAAGGGGATGGCGGGAAAACGTGTCAGGCCATTCCGTGACGGAGAATGATAGCGGAACACGTCGGAAACAATGCTCTGACACCGCGTACGTAATACAATATTGCGAATGGTTACGCGTATCATTATCTGCTGGCCGTTATCACACCGGTACGGCACACTTCGCGCAAGAACTGAAAGAACGATTTCACGGTGCGATGCTCCGGCGTGTCTATCGATACCTGTACCTCAGTCCCTCCTGCGTATTATCACCGAACAGCTCGTAAAGAGGGTGAGATCTGTTAAAACCCAATGAAATTGGGGTAGTTCCAACAGAGGAAAAAATATGGACGCATTGAATCCCCGTGTCACGTTTTTGAGTTGTATCCTCTGTTCAAACATATTTTTCATTCTATGCATTCATTGTGGAAAATAAGGAACGCAGGCCGTTTCTGTAATGAAGTACTATTTTTCGTTGGAAATATTGTAAACTCAGTATGGCTGTTAGTACTAGAAAAATACATATAAATATAGTTTATTATAGAACTTCGTTAAGTACAGAAAGCAGTTTTGTGATATTTGATTAGAAAATGTTGAAGCTATTATTTAATAATCCTAGTTCAGAATTAAGAGCTAGTATTATAGTGTTTATTCAAGATTTCATTTATCTGAATTGCTAACTCGACAGTTGCACGCGATTCCGTCATTGTTCATTTAAAATAATCAAGATTCCGTAATACACGTTTTTTATATTTCATAGTTCTACGATGAAAACAGTGATTGTGTCGAACAAACGAAACATTTTTTTCCAGTTGATTTTTTCACTAAAGAATCAGAGCACGGGAATGTGGCACAAACAAAGAAGTCAGTTAGGAAATAGAGACACAGAAGTTAGGAACGCTATTAAAAGATCTCTCACGGTGTCCACGATTTTCCCTGAAGAATGCGCGCTTTCCCATAGAAGGGAACACACCTGGTACCGATGAAAGAAAAGTTGTCACGGTCTTTAAGAGCATTATTCGGCGTTTTCGAGGTTTTTAGAGGGATCCAGTGCGGTCAGAGTTCTGCCTGTCAGCGATCGTTTGGCTCAAATTGACCGCGTTCCCTTTCAATACCGAAAGCTCCGATTGTCAAAGTTCATCGGACTGTGAAAGACATGGGGCGATATTGTATGGGAATTTCATTGGCCTCTACCCACCAATCACGATCCTGGCCGGTAATCGAATAAATAGCGCAAGCGGTCAGCCTTCGAATCAACGAAACGCTTCATTAATCCGCAGGAATACTGACTTTCGAAATGATTGTCCGCCTCGAGTATACCAGTTTTTCATCAGATTCCACGTTACGGAAGAACACTGTCCCTTATTATACCCCTGTGAACACGCTCATCGAATAACGCATCAATTTCTGGCGTGATGTCGAAAATTGTTTGAAATTAGACGATACACGGATAAAAATTAAACACAGAAGCTTCTTTTATATTTTATTATATTTTCACAGATTTAGAAATAAATGTTGTAATTTAGATAAAGAAATAAATAAAATATAGAATAACTGAAGTTACTACATAATGCATTCTTCTTAGTGTCGTGACTTTTTGAAGAATGAAACCACCCTTCAAAACGCAATTCTGCAACTATTAACATGGAAGCATACATAGAAAAAACAACTTCCGGGATACAAACAATCTCAGTGAAACGTTAATAAATTTTCCATTAGAAAAAAAGAAACAAGCTTACATTTTATGCACTACGATCAAACACCGGTAAAAATGATACAAATCATCTAATCATGACCTACTGACACGAAAGTACGACACTCAAAAGATCCCATTGCAATAAATCGAAACGATTGCTATCATTTTCTCGAAGAATGTCAAACCAATCGGCATTAGCCGTGGAAAATCTCGATCCTCCGAAAGATAAGAGAGATGAGCCGGAACTCGGCGGGCGGCAAAGGCCACGCGAGCCGAAACGCGGCGCGGAGCGGATCGGAGCGGAGCAGAGCCGCAGCCTGACGATTCCGCTTGTCCCTAGGACGGAAGTGACGTCGCAGGCACCGACGGAAATTCGTACTGGAAATTCCGATGGGTTCGAGAGGTCGAGGAAGGGAGAGAAGAGGGCAACAATCAGGGTAGACCCGGCATTACGCCCCATTCATCCCCTGCCGCCGCCCCCTTACCACTCTCGAACCGTATTTGGCTGACAATTCTTCATTTGCGTGCAGCAAACTCTACAGAGCGGCCACGGTATAGCGAAAGGTTTAAACGGCTCGCAAAAGCCCCGGCTAAATTTGACTCCAATTTGCCGGCTCATTCGTGCAACGATCGGAAACAAAATGCCTCGGCCGTTCAATTTTTTTCACCCCGCTCGCCGCCGGGTCCCCTCTTGTTCAACGTCTCTTTTTTTCCGTTGATACCTCTTGCGATCCGCTGACCGGACCGGCCCATCGATACGCGCTTTTCCAAATCAACCGAGCATTGTCTTCCATTGCGAATTTTTGATGCGACCTCGATGGCGACACTCACCCCCTCGATCCCTTCCTTTCTTTCCACGCTCGTTCCACAGGATTTTTTTTGTTCGCTATTTGATATAGAATTTATTAGGTTTCCGCGTAAATAGGCGCAAACCTGTTTTAATTCGAAGGATTTCGTTACGACTCGTTACAAACACGTGTGATTAACGAGAAGCCATTTGTGATCAGTTTGAAGGTAGCAGCACTAACTCACTGTTTCGTGTAATTAATTATGTAAAAGAAATATTGATTGTGACTTACTTTTTTATATTACGCGCCAATATTGTAGGATGTGTTTGTGACTTTGTGATTGTTGATTCTTAGAATTCTTGATTGATTTCCTCGCGCAGGCTTGAAGACATTGCTACGGCAGGGTCAGGTGGACATTTCGTACGGCACAGTTAGGTGTACATACCGCATACACACACGACGACGTCACTTGGGCGGTATTGTCAGAAGCTGACTAGCCTACCATCCGGGAATACGAAATTCGGTGGTTCCGCGATATTCCTGCGCCACCGACTTACCGGCGGCACTCGTCGCGTGCAATCTCCGTGGGTGCGTGACGCGGTCCCCAAATATTTTCTTTCCCCACGCCCGGCTACGGCCAATCCGACTCGGCGAACGGACCCCCGCGGATTGTTTCTTATTTGGCCGGCATTCCGCGACGATTGTCCGTGAACGCGTGCGTCTTTGAATGGCTTTTTTCTATTGCTTGAAGGTTTTTTATGTGAATTAATTTCTTCTGGATTGTGTCTCTTGTTTTTGGTGTGTACATTTTATATTGTTACGATAGATTCGAAGGAAGCATAGTAATTTAGATTAATTTAAATTTAAGTGCATAAGCGTAAGATGTAATCTCTTCTAGATGGTATTGACATATTTATGACTTTGGACTTTCTATATTAACTCATTTTTATTGAATTTTTAATGCAACATTTCTTATTTTACGTTAAATAAATGATTCCCTTACTACAAATCTTCGAAATTCGAGTTCCGTACGTAAATATTCATTCGACAATTATGACCTATTTTTCCAAGAGCGTTCATTTCTCTTCAAGTTCCATAATATACATCGCAAGAATATGAATACTTTTAATGAATGAAATAAATGATAAATCTGCGTCTGATTCGAATAAATTTTAAATGGTAGTAAATGAGGACACGATTTTGCGAGAGAGAATTACTGATAAATATTAACTCGTCGATGACTTCTTGCAGATAATGAAAAATTCATTAAAATACTTTATGAAACCTTCATAATAATTCGCGGAAAAAATATCTCATTATTTCTAATACTTAAGTATTTAAACAGCTTTTTTAATGATCATAAAATTTGACTTTAATATCTCTCAATGAATGCTTAATGTAGTAAATATTTTATGTATTTCATTAACTTGCTTAATATTTCTATTTAACAACAATTTATCGGGAATAAGCTCACCCTTAGTCTCCTGAAGAGCTAATATCCCAAGTTTGGAAAGTCGGGTGCTGATTCTCGTAAAAGCAGTACCCCATTGAACGCAGCATATCTGGAAAAAAGAGAATAACGGTAAAAAAGAATGTTCAACTAATATCAAGAATTAAAAGGAAGATTGTGTCATTTAATAAACTTCGTTTATCACCACTATAGATCGCGAATGAATTTCCTTTGGAAGTGCAAAATACCTTGATTAAGTTCGTAAAGACGGAATTACAGAATAATGTATAGTGAACAAGCCATACCGCGATCGAACTTAAATTTCCCTAACTTTCGGCATTGGGCCCTTTTGCACGGATCTCCGTAATGATATTTAATGGGCACACAAACTGCGATCCATGTTGCAATTAAGGGCATCCCAAGACTTCAAAGTTCTTCTTATATAATGCATCCACATTAAGGGTTCTATTGTTGAAGTGGCGAAATTGGTTCATGGTGGCTGGTTAATTAGTTCATTTTAATTAACTTTCGGCAACGGGGAATTTAACCGCAACTAGTTTCCTACATCAAAAATATGATTACGCTCGGTGGAGAATGAATTCTTCATACACCATTATTTATGCATTCATTTTCGTTCATCTCACGACGAAAATATATAAAATTCACAATTGTACCATTTTTAGAAGTATAATATATTCAACAGATTACTTGTATTTCCTATTATCAGAATCCTACAATATATTTATAAATCAAAATAAATTACAAAAATAAATACTAAAATAAAAAAACGAACAATTACAAGTCATGTATATCTAAGATTGATGCTCGCTCGAAATATCTGCTTTGTAATTAGTCAGAAAAAATGTCGACACTTCGGCGAGATCAGATGCTCATATTTCGAAGACTAAGTCGCGAATAAATGATTGAATCACTCAAACCGCAAGAGATCAGCGCGTAGTTTCCTTTTAATTAAGCAATCAATATATAATTTAACTTCATCTGCTGAAGGTGTCGTACATTTCAGAGAATCTTCGTCCATAAAGGGTTAAGGGATGATTATTTTCGATTACCAGTTTACAGAACGCATTGCAAAAGCAAACAGTATTAAACCTATACAAGAATTAACAAACATTTAACAATTAACGTTACAAACATACAAGAATCCGTTGAAAAAAGGAATTCAATAATTTTTCAAATACTTCCTACGACGGAGTCAAGAAAGCACTCGTTATCCAGCAGCCAGACATCGTTCACAACCAGAGAGCATCTCGTCGCTCAGGTGGTCCAATTTGAGGCGACGCAAAGGAGATAAAGGAGGAACAAGCGACGGGTACGAGACACGAATCGGACAGTGTAGAACGAGGAGGGCGGCTAAGGGGGGTCGGTGAGGAGAGACGCACGTAAAATTGATCCATATTAATAAGAACGGGCGGTTCGCGTTGCCGGATTTTTGCATAAATTTGAATCGGTGCCTCGCCGCGGCTCGCGGCAAGGGTTGCGAATTTGAATAATCGAGAATAATTCCGAAGTTTTCTCGCCGTGTAAACGCGGTCCGGGCGTAATCAGCGCGGGCTTCGAAACATTTCATGATGTAACGTTTCCCGCGGCACGGATGTGCAGCTAATTAAGCACTCCCCGGCCGGCCACCGGGCATCGGAAAAAAATACGGTTGGCTCTACGAATTTCCTTCCAACCCCGGCCGTCCTACCCCCGTTTTCTTCGTTTTGTTCGTGCGCTTCCACCCTTTTCGGTTTGGTGCCGGGCGCTGGCTGAACGGGGATCCGTCGTGTTTGCGATTTTAATGAATCTTAACCACGTGATGTCTCGCTTTCTGTTTCGACCGTACGCCGTGTCCGAGGTGAACACGCCTCTGCCGATGTTTTTGTCTACGAGTGATGGCAATTTGCTGCTGTAGCAATAATTTACGAATAATTGTGTATTAATCCTGAAGAATATTGTATCCCCTGTGGCAATCGTGACTCCGAGGAAAGAAGAAAATGAAAGGCATTACAGTGTTTATATTATTACGTGATTACTAATTCACCATTTTCCATTTAACAATACATCTGTTCCAATATTCATAGGAACTCAAGCATTATGTCTTTTTACTATTTTTTGACTCTTCGAAATGAAAATAACCTTAAAACGTTACTCTATCTCGAATAGAATTCTCTGCTATAAGTAGCGTATAATCTAATGAGATTATATTAATCTAATTGATAAGAATGTTACAAGTTCTTGAAGTTTCCAAGGATCGCAGGGTTCTAAACGCACACTGGTCCCTCGGATGCAGCATCGGTGGTTGCGCGTTCGCGAGTTGCGAGAACACGCAGAACGATCGCAGCCTGATTCCCTATCGCAAGAAGGAATGTGCCACACTGTTGCATCAGAGAAATAATATGCGGCCGTGTACGGGGAACGATGCTTAACAGTTTTTATCTCGGTATGCGGTAATCTGCGAGAGCGCGGCGAGGCGAGTCGAAGCGTGGTGAGGCGAGGCGCGGCGGAGCGGGCGGCACTCGGCATCGTTCCTTCGCCCGGCAGATTAAAGCGAATCTTATTATATCGAATGACGAGATCACGTGATCAATCACAAAAACACACAACGGAACTGTCGTGTCTCTAATATGAAGCGGAGGAAGACAGCGATACTCGGGGAGCGGGCCACCCGTCGAGAACGAGGAATGTGGAACTGTACCGACAGGGCCGGCAATGCTCCTCTCTTCGCCCCTTATCGATCATTCCCTCCATCCACGATTAAACTTTCTTAAAATCCGTTTCTGAACCATGATCATATTTACATGATAATCACTTAGAAATTTTCATTCCAATCTATTCAGCCGAAGAAGACGAGTTATCTCATCTTTTGTATTGCACCTCGTTCTTCGTTAACTCTTCGATGTTCTCAGCATCCTTAATAAGTGATGCCCTTATAAACATTATCCCAAATTCTCCTCTACAACATTTTGCAAACTAGAATTTCTGAAACTACCGAAAATGCTTTCCATAAAAGACTGTAATCTTCTATCGAAGTTTTTAATATTGAAAAAGATAAACGCCACATATCAATGTTCTATCGTTTGAATAATTAAATTACTCGTTCACAGCTGTCGACTGTATACATCGAAGCTTGAAGTCGCTATTACTATGTTCAACCGCAAAGGGCTGATAATCTTGAAACAATTTAGCAGCGCCAGTCACCGGTAACCAACGTGTCAAACGAAAATCCAATTACACGGGCCCGGTAAAAAGAAGCATCAACGATATTCCCAGCAAAGATTGAAACCAATTTCTCCGCAGCCCGATGGTCGGTGCTCAAACTTTCACGAAGAGACAGATGTAAAAATCCTCCGGAAAGAACTCCTCGCTACAAAATTCACCCGTGACCCGTCCGCCAACATTCGCTCGCGCGTTGTCCCCCGGCCGGTCAAACGTTTAATTTTTTACGCGGTTCACTCAGTTCCGATCGAGATCGATGCCGGGACCTGTTATTACTCCCCGTAACGGCCTATTTACGACACCGTGGACGCCTCTCCCGCGCCGTCACCCCTTTCCACGGCGAAATGAAATTTTTTCTTTCACGAAATCCTGTTACCACTGGGACTACTAGCCCGGTCTCCCTTTCGATCTCTCTCTTTCTCTCGCCCCCTCTTGTCCTGTTATGGTCTATCCCATTATAATTCCGGGCATGCACGCTCGTCGTCCGTACGTCCTCCCCAGAGATGGGAAGAGTGTAAAACGTCGGACACCTGGGCAGAGAGTTTAGCCGGGTATTGTCAAGAGACAAATATGAGTTAATACGTCATCCAGGGACCTATTCAGGGCCCAGCGCCGACAAGAATGGTGATCACGAATTGGCCGGCGTATAAATGTGTTTTAATTGTTCCCCCTGCCCTCCCTCCACCCTTCCTTTCCTCCCTCGTCCCTTTCCCTACGCCCGAAACCCCGTCCCGCTCTTTCACCACGGCTCGTTTGGCTCTCTCGGCTCTCTAGCCGTGGACCCGTTTGAGGAACGCCACTGACGAGCCGAGGATGTGGAACATAATAAGAGACGGCGTTAAAGAATTTTCTATTATCTTATTGTTGCTGCATGGCCTTTTGTCCGATGATACGTGCCAGCTTCTAAAGAGGTATTCGGTTGAACCCTGTTTTCCTTCGCGATGATTTCGCCGAGATTGCCCCGGGGGCCATTGTAGTCCGAAAGGTCATGCTTTTCGATTGTTCGGGACTGCGATGGTAATGCTGGGAGTTTGGGTAATTCGACGCCAGACGGCAGGAAGTATTCGCTGTTTCTACGTGTTACTGCGTTCTTTGGACGAATTGTATTATTATATTAACCCATTTGCATCATTCGTGTATATATACGCTCAATTTTCCTGGTCGCTATTATTTTTTTCATATTTTCTTATCATGCAAATGGGTTAATGACACATTCGTAGTAGCTATAATTTTTCTATGTATATACTAGTTATTACAGTGTCATTAATTCAGTGAAGATACTATTGTTAATAGCCGTGAAGAATTTCCTTAACGAAGATTTATGTGTATAATGATTTATGTAATGAAAGAGTATGATTTGTTAAGATGATTACTTAAATGGTTACAATTATTTAATTACGGTTGTAGTTCATAGAAAAATTCAGGAAACAGTGACATGTGACACTTTTGAAATTCGTTTATGAAAATGAACATTTGCTGAAATGTGCGTATTTCAGAAATTATACATAATCCTTTTCAGCAGCTATTAAGTTGTACGAAGTAGCGATATAATCTTCATTTAGAAATATATGCAATTCTGATGTTGATAGATCGATGAAATTTCGAGCGAATGTCTTCATAAAATTCCCGGGCTGTTGCGGGAGAACAGACAGCAGGGATTTATATACCTCGAACATCATTTTCGGACGTCAGTGCTCATTTAAAGTGGCATTATTTCAACCTCTACACTTCAGTTATGAGCATCGACCGTTTAAGCACTTTCATCTCGAGCATCGTTCCTGTTTATCACGGGACGATACCTCGGGGCATCGACGATCATCTTGGGGGAAGAAGAAAAAGCGATTCGCAGAATCCTTTGGGGAGGAGGAACGAAAATAAAATGAAGAGCGCCGC